CCTTGAAGAAATATTTTTTAAAAAATCCACGTTTCAATTGATCCTTGAAAAAAATATTCTTTAAAAAATTCATGTTTTATTTGATCCTTGAAAAAATATTCTTTAAAAAATCCACGTTTCATTTGATCCTTAAAAAATATTCTTTAAAAAATCCACGTTTCTTTGGTCCTTAAAAAAATATTCTTTGAAAAATTCACGTTTCATTTGTCCATAAAAAAATATTTTTTAAAAAATCCACGTTTCATTGGTCCTTAAAAAAATATTCTTTAAAAAATCCACGTTTCATTTGATCCTGGAAAAATATTCTTTAAAAAATTCACGTTTCATTTGATCCTTGAAAAAATATTATTTAAAAAATCCACGTTTCATTTGATCCTTGAAAAAATATTATTTAAAAAATCCACGTTTCATTTTATCCTTAAAAAAATATTATTTAAAAAATCCACGTTTCATGTTATCCTTGAAAAAATATTATTTAAAAAATCCACGTTTCATTTGATCCTTGAAAAAATATTCTTTAAAAAATGCAAGTTTCTTTTGATCTTTGAAAAAGTATTCCCTCATTTATTCGTTTAAAATGGTTGTGTTATAATAGTCCTTTTTTAACTTTATATTTCCCTATCTTATAAAAAAATCTTTTACTTACTAACTAAACATACTTGATTTATTTTGTCCCCAAAAAGATACTCTTAACACCACTGAATAATAAATTACAAAGCTTTCAATAATATTTACAGCTGTATAACTTGTAATTTGCTTAGTTCTACAGCAAAGCAATATTGACTTTGTGACTCTTTTGACTTACACCGAAAAGGACTCCCTCCAGCTGTCTTTCTACGTTCCCTTTCAATGTCCTTATCTTGATCTACAATTTGCAATGTTGTAATAATGGTGGCATTGCTACTTTGCCAATTGTCGGAGCAATAAGCAATCAGCAATTACATTGGCTGTTAATACCGCTTACAATCAACTTTGGCGTTGAAAATTTGGTGTCACATCGGGGGATGGGTAAATATGTCAAATTGTGGTAGTGCAGAGAAAAAGACAACTGTTCCTCGACTCCTTAAGCCCCAATGTCGTTGTCGTAGTTGCTGTCCTTGTGCTTCCTAGTCAACAAGATAACCAAACAAATGAACGAACGTGCAATTGTTGGCGAATTAAAAGATTAGATGGCAACAGAGGCGCTGAAAACAGTGGATGAATTTCGGATATTTGCAACAGCTTTGTAAATAAGGGCAACGAAGACATTGAAGTTATATCTGTGATAAATATACAAAATATAACATTTCCAAAATTTGGAAAATTTTGAATTTCAGCTTCAATATCACCCAACATTTTTACGAATTTCCTTCATTCTTGTTTTAAAACACTGTTTTGATGTATTTCCTTTCTTTTTTGTTTCCCTTTCAAAAATGCAAATGCATTCCAAGTTTTGCCCATTAACTGGGAAAAAACGTAGTTCTGAAAAGTGTTTGTCTTTTGCAATATTCAAACAAACGACACCAGCTGCACTCAACAACTTTTCACAGTCGGAGTCGCAGTTCGTTTAACATTTATTGGTTTCGTAAGCACCGAGTAAATGTGTATGTAAATGCGTATTGTTAACATGTAAATGTACATTGGAATTAAAACAAATAGAAGGCATAAGAAAAATATTAAATGTGGAAATTTTATTTTTTTTTAAAGAATATCTTTTCAAGGACCAAATAAAATTCGATTTTTGAAAGAATATCTTTTCAAAAACCAAATAAAAGTGGGTTTTTTAAGAATATTTAAAAAAAATATTTTTTAAGGATCAAATGAAATGTGGATTTTTTAAAGAATATTTTTTAAGGATCAAATGAAACGTGGACTTTTTAAAGAATATTTTTTCAGGGATCAAATGAAACTTGGATTTTTTAAAGAATATTTTTTTCAAGGATCAAATGAAGCGTGGATTTTCTAAAGATTTTTTTTTTTTCAAGGATCAATTGAAACGTGAATTTTTTAAAGAATATTTTTTCAAGGATCAAATGAAACGTAAATTTTTTAAAGAATATTTTTTTCAAGGATCAAATGAAACGTGGATTTTTTAAAGATTTTTTTTTCAAGGATCAATTGAAACGTGAATTTTTTAAAGAATATTTTTTCAAGGATCAAATAAAACGTGGATTTTTTAAAGAATATTTTTTCAAGTATCAAATGAAACGTGAATTTTTTAAAGAATATTTTTTCAAGGATCAAATGAAACGTGGATTTTTTAAAGAATATTTTTTCAAGGATCAAATGAAACGTGGATTTTTTTAAGAATATTTTTTCATGGACCAAATTAAGGTCGATTTTTGAAAGAATATTTTTTCAAGGATCAAATGAAACGACCAAAATTAAGGTCGATTTTTGAAAGAATATTTTTTCAAGGATCAAATAAAACGTGGATTTTTTAAAGAATATTTTTTCAAGGATCAAATAAAACTTGGATTTTTTAAAGAATATTTTCCAAAGACTAAATAGAAATGGATTTTTAAAGAATATTTTTTCAAGGACTAAATAAATGAGAATTTTTAATAATATATTTTCAAGGAATAAATAAACTTTTTAAGAAATATTTTTTCAAGGATCAAATGAAACGTGTATTTTTTAAAGAATATTTTTTCAAGGATCAAATGAAACGTGGATTTTTTAAAGAATATTTTTTCAAGGATCAAATGAAATGTGGATTTTTTTAAGAATATTTTTTCAAGGATCAAATGAAACGTGGATTTTTTAAAGAATGTTTTTTCAAGGATCAAATGAAACGTGGACTTTTTAAAGAATATTTTTTCAAGGATCAAATGAAACTTGGATTTTTTAAAGAATATTTTTTCAAGGATCAAATGAAACGTGGATTTTTTAAAGATTATTTTTTCAAGGATCAATTGAAACGTGAATTTTTTAAAGAAAATTTTTTCAAGGATCAAATGAAACGTAAATTTTTTAAAGAATATTTTTTTAGGATCAAATGAAACGTGGATTTTTTAAAGATTTTTTTTCAAGGATCAATTGAAACGTGGATTTTTTAAAGATTTTTTTTCAAGGATCAAATGAAACGTGGATTTTTTAAAGAATATTTTTTCAAGGATCAAATGAAATGTGGATTTTTAAAGAATATTTTTTCAATTAACAAATAAACGTGGATTTTTGAAAGAATATTTTTTCAAGGAACAAATAAACGTGGATTTTTGAAAGAATATTTTTTCAAGGAACAAATAAACGTGGATTTTTGAAAGAATATTTTTTCAAGGAACAAATAAACGTGGATTTTTTAAAGAATATTTTTTCAAGGACCAAATAAACTTGGATTTTTTTAAAGAATATTTTTTTAAGGACCAAATAAAAGTGAATTTTTTAAAGAATAGAATGTTTTTCAAGGACTAAACTGAACGTGAATTTTTTTAAGAATATTTTTTCAAGGACCAAATAAAAGTGGATTTTTAAAGAATAGAATGTTTTTCAAGGACTAAACTGAACGTGAATTTTTTTAAGAATAGTTTTTCAATGATTTTTTTAAATATTTATTGAAAAATTATTTTGTCAAGGAACAATTAAACTTCGATTTTTAAAAAATAGTTTCCAAGGACCAACCCAACGTGGATTTTTTAAAAAATATTTTTTCAAGGACTAAATAAATGAACATTTTTAAATAATATTTTTTCAAGGACTAAATCAACGTGGACTTTTTAAAAAATATTTTTTAAGGACCATACGAAACGTGGATTTCTTAAAGAATATTTTTTCAAGGACCAAATGAACGTGGATTTCTTAAAGAATATTTTTTAAGGACCAAATGAACGTGGATTTCTTAAGGATTATTTTTTAAGCACAAAATTAACGTGGATATTCAAATAATATTTTTACAAAAAGAATATGCCAAAAAATTGCACTACTAGTGCTAGAAAGTCCTTCGAAGAATATTTTATGACTTTGAAGGCCTTCTACAATGATTTTATAAATCCTAGAATTTGTGCCATAAATGTCCTTTAAATTCGCCTTAGCTGAACTGACTTTCCTTTAAATTATATGATTGAAAAACGAAAAAACAAATTTGGTGGTCGGGCGATCCTTGAAGAAATGTTCTTTAAATTAGCATTTCAAAAAATCCTGCGTTTTTATATCTTCTAAACAATTGATGGTCTCTTAAATAAATTCACATTTTCAAATATACCCCCTGTCCCCCATGTACGCATAATTATCCCCGAAACCAGTCACCACCCACCTATCTATCTACCTACTCAGATTACATTACAATGACCTTCTCGAACAAGGCCACACACACACGGTGGATGTGCAACAGCCTTTTTGCAATGGAAATTCTCGCAGCTAACATTTTGAAAGGATATTTTGCCAGACATAAATTGTCATAAATAATACCATTCAATAAGTCCTTGAGGGGAGGTGGCAGCGATGCTGATATGCCTCTTCTTCTTCCTCTTTTCTATGTATGTATGTTTGCCATTCGTTTCCTGTATCCATTTGCTCGAGTAGCTGTAGGGAGTTGAACGTTCCTATTGTGGCAGTTGGGGAATGTATCATTTTAATTGTACACCACAGGGGAAATGTTACGTATGGCATGGCTATTATGCTGGTTCGGAATAAATTTATGTGTGTGTAGGTATATGTATATGTACCATGGGGTGGGGAGAAAAGCGTATGACTGATATCGGGTTTTTTCAGACTATATTTAGTATTTTTATTTGAAGCCAGTCATTTCGCTTCTAAATCTATTTCAGTTGAACCACACTAATGTAATGTCATAATAGTAAGCAATGCAAATAACATATACATGTGTAGTTATGTTTATTACTCTTTCTCTCTCTCTTTATGTACATTTAATGTGGCATAACAAAAGGGTGTCATTTACCAAAAGGGTTTGTTTGTACATTTTGTGGTAATACTTATTTTCAAATTCTCTGTAAACACCCATACACATGCACATGCAGCGCGTAATATTAACAAGTAAAACAAGTAATAAAGCTGTATGTTTAATTTAGAATTGCATAAAATATTGCTATTTATTGACCCCTGGTTTGGTCCTTAATTAGTCGTTAAAATGTACGCGCTACGGTTTATTGCAACCTTGTGCTAGCGCCTTTGACATTTTAACTACTAATTATTTGTCACTTGTTTTGCCGCCTCCTTTAGACATCAAGTAGTATTTCGCTGTCATTCGGACAGACAACACCCGCAATATCGTTTGCAAGGCACATATCGTTGTGCATAGGAGGCATATTGTTGCCACAGGTAATATCGTTACCACCCACCAAACTAGCAATAAATAGTTCTATATATTAAGAAAAACTATTGTGTTTTATTTCTTTTTATATTTCCCCCTACGGTCCACTGCTCGACGCATTCGGCGTTTTACTCCCATCGGCGGAGCCCCTCTGAGCTAAACATTGGTCAATTCGAGCCAGATTTGGATCATCGCTTGCGTATGGATACTTGGATCCTCCATAAATATACAGTCCATTACTCCTGCATTACAAGGTACGTATAGTGCAGTGTTGTTTTTAAGTGAGCTCGCGTTATTAAATTACCGCGACACCAACAAAACAATCGGTTTTGTTTGGGTACAAAGGTCGTTTTACTACGTCACCTCTTTCCCTTTTGTTTTGTTTCCCGCCAATCGTCGGCTTCTAATTTGGATGCTTGTATTCGGCAGCATCAAAATCAAAACAAAATTCAAAAGTAAAACTGTTGCAAAAATCGTTCGCTAATTTTCTTTTTGTTTTGGTTCGTTTCAAAAAACCAAACATTCAATATTTCTTTCGTTGATACCAACAAAAACGTCATCGTTGTTATTTCTTAGTTTGGTGTGCTTTACTACCTAAAGCAAAGACCGCAATATTAGTCTTTTTGTTTGGTCTGTCCGCTTTAATATTGCATATTGTTGTTGTTACACCTATTCTCTTTTTCTCGTTGTAACAACAGTCAAATTAATTTTCTGTTTTGTTTGTCGCAAACAACAACAACACTGTTGGATCATCCACCAACATCACTGCTTGCTTTGTCGTGGTTCTCTGATCAGCGCTTGTTGTTTGTGCTTTGTTAGATCAGTGAACGAACATAACAAACGAAGGAAGAATATTTTTGTGTATTCCTCTTTCTGTCGTGTCCGTTTAGGTTGAGTAGCTACACTACGTTGGTCGGTCACTTTGGTTTGTTATATTAGTTGGCATTGGGTGTAAACTTAACGTTATTATTAAAGTTAAATTAATATAAATACTATAGTGTATTTAATTTTTGTTGTTGTTTTCGATATTTTAAAAATTAATACACCCTACAGACGGTCATTTTGGCTAATTAAATAAATAAAAATAAAATTGTTATTTTATTTATTTTTGTATTTTTCCCCAAACTTGTTCAGCGTTTCGTGTTATAATTATGGCCTTCGCTCCTCTACAAACTTTCATAAGAGCATCTGACACTCTGACAGAATTTGGTGCACAAATCGGTGCAATAAAAGGTGACGATTTAGATATTAGTATATTAGAGGAAAGGAAGAGCAAGCTAGAAAAATTATGGCAATCGGTTCATAAATCGTTACGAAACTTAGAAAATTCGGAAAATGTAACAAAAGAACATCTGCATTTGGCAGAAAATAAACACAACGCTTCTTTAAACATTTATTCAAGCACTATGGCCACAATTAATAGAAAAATTATAAAAACTCGTTGTGTGTTAAAAAATTTGATTAAAAACGCGGATAAAAATCAAGAGCTATCGGCTCAATCTTTTTTGGTTCCTGAATCGCAGGAAAATATGGCGGCAAATATTTCTTCTGGTTGTGATATCGTTCACAATATGACATTGCCACCAATTGATATTAATGTTTTTGAGGGAGATTTTTCTTCTTGGCCTTCCTTTCGGGAATTGTTTAGCGCCGTTTACATTAATAACTCTCGATTGAGTGATGTTGAACGTATGTTCTATTTGCTGAACAAAACTTCTGGAGAAGCTCGGGAAATCGTTTCGCAGTTTCCTCTAACAAATCGTGGTTTCGCTTTCGCATGGAAAGCATTAAATGATGAATACAACAATATTCGATTATTGGTTCATCAACAACTAAAGTCGTTGAATAATCTTCCGATTCTTGAGAAAGAAACTGCAGTGGGTCTTAAGGAGATCCGACTGGGAATAAATAGTTGCATTTTTTCTATGTCGATCTATAACGTTCCCACAGATCAATGGGATCCGATACTTGTCTTTCTTTGCCTGCAACGCTTGCCGGAAGAAACGACAATGCTATGGGAACAAGGTATTAAAAACAAATCGGCCCTTTCTTCGTGGAAAGATTTAGACACATTTCTTTCAGAAAGGATAAACACGCTTGTGTGTTTGGAAAGTTATCGAGAGAAATCGATTCCTTCGACTGATACAAATTCGTTTAATACCGCTACCAAGTCCAACTCTAAATGTTCGTATTCCCCTTCAATTGGAAAAACGTGTTCTCTTTGTAGTGAGAAAATCCATCGGCTTCATTTGTGTTCAAAGTTTAAGAATTTATCCCCCGCAAATAGGTTTGCATTCGTAAAGCGCAACGACCATTGCATAAATTGTTTGGTAAAGGGACATAAACTAGTAAATTGTACTAGTAAAAATAGTTGTTTGAAATGTGGTCAACGTCATCACATGTTATTACATCGCGAGTCAGTAAAACCGAATAGTTCGATTCCGGTTTTGACTCCAAAAGCTCAGGCAAGCTCGTCAAAATCGTTGTTGTCAGCTGCAGCCCCAGCTTTTCGTCCCTCAAAATGTACATTCTCCACATCTGTCGAGGTCCAAAATAAAAAATCGGAAATGGTTCGTTTAAAATCACTACACCAAATGTCGAAAGAGAACTTAATTAAATTTATAAAAACAAATTTATTCAATGGAAATAATAAAAAGAAGTTTAAATTTGAAAACAATGTTGTAAAGCGACCTTCGCGTAAAATCGGTCTCACGACAGCTGGCGGTTTATATACCGGCATTGGCACAGGGTCTCAATTGGAACCCGCCTCGAATATCGTTTCGAGAAACACATAGCTCGATTGAAGTCCGAATCTGTAACTGCAGGTTCATCTGCGGCTTCAAAGTACTACATTTCGTGTATAAATATAGCTTGATTGAAGTCCGAATCTGTAACTGCAGATTCATCTGCGGCTTCATATTATCGTTGTAGCGGAGATGGATCCCGAATCTGTTACTGCCGATTCATCTGCGTTTCCATTCCCTACATTTAGTTTGAAAAAAAAGTTCACACTGCACTATACAACCCGTACCTAATACTGGATCTTATATAGATTAAGTTAATTGTGTTGAAACATGCTTTGATGTTTCAAGGGGGTCGGCATGTTTAATTTAGAATTGCATAAAATATTGCTATTTATTGACCCCTGGTTTGGTCCTTAATTAGTCGTTAAAATGTACGCGCTACGGTTTATTGCAACCTTGTGCTAGCGCCTTTGACATTTTAACTACTAATTATTTGTCACTTGTTTTGCCGCCTCCTTTAGACATCAAGTAGTATTTCGCTGTCATTCGGACAGACAACACCCGCAATATCGTTTGCAAGGCACATATCGTTGTGCATAGGAGGCATATTGTTGCCACAGGTAATATCGTTACCACCCACCAAACTAGCAATAAATAGTTCTATATATTAAGAAAAACTATTGTGTTTTATTTCTTTTTATATTTCCCCCTACGGTCCACTGCTCGACGCATTCGGCGTTTTACTCCCATCGGCGGAGCCCCTCTGGGGCCGAACATTGAGTACCCTCCACCATTTGGAACGAATTTGACAATTCTCAAAAACAATAAAATCCGTTAAAAATTCTGTTAAAATCTTAAAAATACCGAATGTTGCTGTTGTATTAGCGTCTATACATCGACATAGACCTGCATAGGTAACATTTGTAATAAGCTGTTATAAAATTTAAATGCGAAACTTAGAAGAATCGGTAATATTGTCGCTAAAATCATGAAAATACCGAATATCGGAAGGTATCGTTATCTGGGGGCTATACGAAGACGTGGACCTGCATAGACAATTTTTGTCATAGGCTGAAGTATCCATTACAAACATCAAATGCGAAATTTGAAACAATTCCGATAAATAATGTCGCTAAAATCATCAAAATACCGAATATCGGGAGGTACGTTATATGGGGGCTTTGCGAAGACATGGACCTGCACAGACAATTTTCTGTCATAGGCTGAAGTATCTATTCTGAACTTCAAATACCAAATTTAAAACAATTCCGATGAATAATTTCGCTAAAATCATCAAAATACCGAATATCGGGAAGGTACCATTATATGGTGACTCTACGAAGACGTGGATCTGTATATAAAAATTGTTGGCATAGGCTGTAGTACCCGTAACGAGCTTCAAATAAGAAATTTGAAATGATGCCGGAAAATAATGTCGCTAAAAGCATTAAAATACCGAATATCGGGAGGTACCGTTATATGGTGGCAATACGAAGATCTGAACCTGCATACAAAATTTTTTTGCCAAGGTTGTAGTACCCAGTAGGATCTTTCCGTACGAAATGTCAAAAGATTCTGGTAAACAATGTTGATGAAATCATCAAAATGCCGTATATCGGGAGGAACTGTTTTAGGGGCTATACGAAGACTAGGACCTGCATACAAACATTTTTGTCGTAGTCTGTAGTACCTATTACGAACTTCAAATACCAAATTTGAAACAATTCCGATGAATAATGTCGCTAAAATCATCAAAATACCGAATATCGGGAGGTACCGTTATATGAGGGCTATACGAAGACGTGGACCTGCATAGACAATTTTCTGTCTTAGACTGTAGTATCCATTCTGAACTTCAAATACCAAATTTGAAACAATTCCGATGAATAATGTCGCTAAAATCATCAAAATACCGAATATTGGGAGGTACCGTTATATGGGGGCTATACGAAGACGTGGACCTGCACAGACATTTTTCTGTCTTAGACTGTAGTATCTATTCTGAACTTCAAATACCAAATTTGAAACAATTCCGATGAATAATGTCGCTAAAATCATCAAAATACCGAATATTGGGAGGTACGTTATATGGGGCCTTCACAAAGACGTGGACCTGCACAAACAATTGTTTGCCTCAGGCAGTAGTATCCATTACGAACCTCGAATTACGAATTTGGAACAATTCCGGTGAATAATATCGCTAAAATCATAGCCCCGTTATATGGGGGCTATACGAAGACTTGGACCTGCATGGCCCATTTACGAACTTATCCTGCCTGCTAGTAAACTATGCATGTCTGCAAAATTTTAGGCTTCTAAGTCAATTCGTCCTAAAGATAGCGCGTTTAAAACAGACAGACAGACTGACATCGCTAGATCGTCATAGAATTTTACGCTGATCCTCATTATATATATATTTTTTGTAGGGTCTATTATGAATATTTCGAGGAATTACAAATGGAATGACAAAGTTAATTTACCCCTTATAATTATTATTTCTTTTTTTTTTTTTTGTCCAAAAGTCACCATTTCCGGATGAGTAACACTTACTGACTGTGAATACTGCACATTGTTCATTTTAACAATGCATAGACGGAAACGTTTTGTTGTTGCATTAATGCAATCCTGGAAGAAGCTACCATAAAAATATGAACATAAACCAACACGATTACATTAAGTTTTATGTTTTTATGTTCTGATGTTATTCGGTGTGCATAATTTTATTAACTTTTTTCGTATTTTCACCCGTAACCAGTTAGCCATAAAAAATATCTGCATCAATTCGTTTGCATTTTTTATAAGACAAACAAAAAAAAAACGAGTTATAAAAAATGGGAAAGTGTCAAAAAGCTTTTATGAAAAATAACTTCAACAAAATCAAAAGAGCAATATAAGAGTGGAGAGGACAATACGTTCCAGAAACGTGTTTTTTTGCGAATATTTCACGTAACCAAATTTTTTAATAAATAAATCTGCCAAGACCATATGACCCGCAAGTGTGGATTTTTACAGCATTTTATTTCATTTCATTTAACTTGGATTTTTAAGGAATATTTTTGTCAAAGGCCATAAAAAATCAACATCCTTAAAAATTTTATGTCTTTTAAAAAATTTTCTAAAAATGTAATATATCTTAATCTTTTAAAAATATTCTTAAAAAATCGTCCTTAAAAAAAATAATCTTAAAAAATCCACGTTCCTTTAAAAACTATTCTTAAAAAAACATGTTATTTAAAATTTATTGTTAAACAATCCACGTTCTTTATAATTATTCTTATTAAAACCACGTCCTTTAAAAATATGCTTTAAAAAATTTCCAGGAACTTTTAAAAGCATGCTTTTTAAAAAATCCAATCCTTAAAAATTGTTTAAAAAAATCTTTAAAAAATCCACGTCCATTAATTTTTTTTTAAATCCACGTCCTCTAAAAAATATACTTTTAACAAATCCAGGTCCTTATAAAAGCATGCTTCTTAAAAAATCCACATCCTTAAAAAAATTCTATAAAAAATCCATGTCCTCTAAACAAATTCTTCAAAAAATCCACGTCCTTTAAAACCATGTCCTTTAAAAAATATTCCTAAAAAAGCCATGTCCTTTAAAAATTATTCTTAAAAAGTCTAAGTCTTTTGAAAGATATTACTCAAAAAATATACGTCCTTTAAAAATATTTAAAAAAAACACGTTATTAAAAATAACCTGAAAAATCCACGTCTTTTCAAAAGTACTCTTGAAAAGTCGACGTCCTATAAAATTTATTCTTTAAAAAATCCATGTCCTTAAAAAAGTATACTTTAGAAAATCCGCGTCCTGTAAAAAAATATTTTTTTTAAATCCCGGATCCAGGTCTATGAACGAAAATTTTAAAACAACACGTCCTTTAAAAAATATAAAAACATCACGTCCTATAAAAATAATCTTTAAAAATATAAAATCCATATCCTTAAAAAAAAATCTTTAAAAAATCAAAGTTCTTAAAAAAGTCTTTAAAATGTCCACATCCTTTAAAAAAAAATCTTTAAAAAAACAAGTCTTGTAAAAAATATTCTCAAAAAGTTCTTTAAAAGATGTTACTCTAAAAGTCCACGTCTTTTGAAAAGTATTCTTGAAAAGTCACCGTCCTATAAAATTTATTCTTTAAAAAATCCATGTCCTTAGAAATGTATGCTTTAGAAAATCCGCGTCGTGTAAAACGTGGATTTTTAAAGATTATTTTTATAGGATGTGGATGTTTTATAATATTTTTTAAAGGACGTGGATCTTTTTATAATATTTTTAAAAGGTCGTGTTGTTTTTAAATTTTTGTTCAAAAACTTGGATTTTATAAAAAAAAAAACTTTTAAGGTTTTTTTTTTAATGGTTTTTATTAAGAATATTTTTCCAAGGTCCTTAATTTTTTAAAGAATATTTTTAAAGGACCTGGGTTGTACAAAGAATTTTTTTTAAGATCCGGGATTTAAAAAAAAAATATATATATATATATTTTTTTATATATATTTATATATATATATATATAATTTTTTTTTAATCCCGGATCTTGAAACATATTCTTTGTACAACCCAGGTCCTTTAAAAACATTCTTTAAAAAATCAAGGACCTTGGAAAAATATTCTCAATAAAAACCATGTCCTTAAAAGTTTTTTTTTTTATTAAATCCAGGTCTATGAACAAAAGTTTTAAAACAACACGTTCTTAAAAAAATATTATAAAAACATCACGTCCTATAAAAATAATCTTTAAAAAATCCACGTCCTTAAAAAATACCTTTAAATTATCCACGTCTTTCAAAAAGTATCCATAAAAAAATATCTTTTAATTAATGATCCACGATTCTTAAATAATCCAAAGAAAAGTTCTTAAAAATCCCCGTCCTTTAAAAAAATATGCTATTAAAAAATCTACGTCCTTTTTAAAATGCTCCTACGTGGATTAAACTTTATTTAAAAATTATATTTTAAAAGTATTCTTAAGTAATCCATCCATTAATAATCCAAAGAAAGTTCTTAAAAGTCCACGTCCTTTAAAAAAATTACTAAAAAAACACACGTCCTTTAATAAACATGTTAAAACATAAAATCCACATCCTTAAAAAAAATCTTTAAAAAATCAAAGTTCTTAAAAAAGTCTTTAAAATGTCCACATCCTTTAAAAAAAAATCTTTAAAAAAAAACAAGTCTTGTAAAAAATATTCTCAAAAAGTCCTTTTTAAAGATATTACTCAAAAAGTCCACGTCTTTTCAAAAGTACTCTTGAAAAGTCGACGTCCTATAAAATTTATTCTTTAAAAAATCCATGTCCTTAGAAAAGTATGCTTTAGAAAATCCGCGTCCTGTAAAAAATATTTTTTTTTTAAATCCCGGATCTTAAAAAATATTCTTTTTACAACCCAGGTCCTTTAAAAATATTCTTTAAAAAATTAAGGACCTTGGAAAAATATTCTCAATAAAAACCATGTCCTTAAAGGTTTTTTTTTTATTAAATCCAGGTCTATGAACAAAAATTTTAAAACAACACGTCCTTTAAAAAATATTATAAAAACATCACGTCCTTTAAAAAATATTATGAAAACATCCACATCCTATAAAAATAATCTTTAAAAAATCCACGTCCTTTAAAAAATATTATAGAACACCAACGCCCTATAAAAATAATCTCTAAAAAATCCACGTCCTTTAAAATTTTTGCACTTAAAAAAGTCCATG